TGCCTTGGAGTGTGTGTGTGTGTGTGTGTGTGTGTTTTCGTTCGTTCTGCCAGGAAGAGCCCCCCACCCCCACCCCCCGCGAGGCCAGAGCAGCACAGTCAGCTGTTCCGCGGCCAGCAAGCAGGGCAGTCAAAGGCCAGGATGCAAGGAGAACTTGGGCCATTGGGGGATCCAAGCAAGAGCGCAAACAGGTGGTGAGACGGAGAGGGAGGGACTGGTGGGCTTCCTGCTTCCTGCACCTGAAAAATAATAAGACCTCCCCGAAAATAAGGGGAGGGGACCTCCCCTTATTTGGAGGGTCAAAAGACCCTGTCTTATTTTCGGGAAAACACGGTACTGAAGATGTTTAGCATGAAAAGCACTGCATTGGGAATGTGCAACAGAGAAGTGCCGTGGTCACAGGTAAGCCATCAGTGAAAGTTTCATGACATATCTCTTAACACTCCTGAATTTTGCCCCAAATAACCAGGGGAGAGACCGGTGGGAAGCAGAATGAAGGCAATGCAAAAGCTCATCCCGCTTTTTAATTCAGTTGCCTTTTCATATTATATTTATATTTGTACCCTATGACTATCATTAAGTGCTGTACCTTATGATTCTTGACAAATTTATCTGGACTTTTTATGCACACTGAGAGCATATGCACCAAGGACAAATTCCTTGTGTGTCCAATCACACTTGGCCAATAGAGAATTCTATTCTATTCTGTATTTATAATATATTCCTACATGCAAACCGGTGCAATAAATCCACTGCATCATGAATGTCCCACTTAAAAAAATCAGCAAAACAGTTTTTAATCAATGTGTTTTGGTCGCATGATTAAAAATAGAAACAACTATTAAAATTGGATAAGCAAAGCCATACTAACTGCACTTTAGAATTCGTGATGTAGCTTGAATGTTTGTGACCAGAAAAGAAATGGCCATTTTAAAAGTATTTGATTGGGGGGGAGGGGACTGATTGAGGTTTAATTGACATCTCATGACAGTATTGCAGTGTCATCTTCAATGTCAAAAAGAACAAAATGGTACCCAGGCTTTGTCCATGCTTAAATGTATGACTTAAAGCAGTGGTTCCCAAACTTGGCAACTTTAAGACTTGTGGACTTCAACTCCCAGAATTCTCCAGCCAGCTCTGCTCTGCTGGCTGGAGAATTCNTCCAATACCATGAAGGGCTTTATAAGTTACGAGTGAGCAACACAGCTGGAATGAAGTTGCATTCAGATTGCTTCTTGGTCGTTCTTTTAAGGATAAGGGGTATTCTCGAGACCATAGCCAGGAAAACTGAGGCTATGCACTTTGGCAGTTCAAATCTCACCAGGCTCAAGGTTGACTCAGCCTTCCATCCTTCCGAGGTGGCTAAAATGAGGACCCAGTTTGTTGGGGGCAATAGGCTGACTCTGTAAACCACTTAGAGAGGGCTGTAAAGCACTATGAAGTGGTATATAAGTCTAAGTGCTATTGCTATTCTCTTGCGTAGATTGAGTGACTAAAATGGAGGATGCCTCAGTTTTGTCCTGATCTCAATTAAATGTGTACTCATTTCATAAAGATTCAGGTACGATGGATTTTTCCAAAAGCTACCGTGTTTCCCCGAAAATACAACATGTCCTGAAACTAAGGCCATGCCAGATTTTCGCGGTGGGCAAAAATATAAACCCTCCCCTGAAAATAAATCCTAGTGAAAGGGTGGGTTTAGCTAGAATAGGGGGCAGTCCTTCCCTTCCCCGGTCACCTCAGGGTTTCTTGGCCCCTTAATCAGATCAGCTGGGCCGCTCCATTCACAAAACAGCAGATTCGCGGGTGCCACTCAGGCCTCCACCAAACGCCGATTGCTTTTGCAGCCAATTGCGGTTGCAAAAAAAGCCGGAGACCAAGCAACACAACCCAAATGCCCTCCTTACATAATGGTGACAGTCACAGCTCGCAATTCCATCCACGGAACAGGAAAAGAAGGCATGGAAATCAATACACCTGGGACATCGGAAGAAGCGCTGTGAGGAGACACTGCTGCTGATGTGCAGGAAATCCTCCCGTCCTTTTAAAGAAGAGTTTCGCCAGGATGAAGGCGACACAAACGCCGCCTTCATCCACCATTTCGTCCTGGTGAAACTCCTCTTTGAAAGGACGATCTGCAGGTTTGGGGGGGGGGGGGAGATTTCCTGCACTTCGGCAGCAGGGTCTCCTCACAGGGCTTCTTCCAATGTCCCAAGTGTATGGATTTTCATGCCTATAAGAGGTCACTTCTCACCTGCATATTCACACTGAAGGCGCGAAATGGGGTGTTTTTGCAAACGGCTTGAAAATGTGGAGGAGGATATTCCTGCCTCTCCCCCTGTTCTGAAGGTCAGCACAGATTGAAAACACGATAAGAGACAAAATACCCCGCTCCCCATTTTCAAGCCGTTTGCAAAAACGCCCCATTCCGATCCTTCACATTATCCAGGATTGCAGGATTGAAGGCATGGAATGGGGCTTTTTTGAGAACCGCTTGAAAATGGGGAGGGGGGATTTTTGTCTCTTATCCTGTTTTCAGTCTGTGCTGACCTTCAGAACGGGGGGAGGGGCAGAAATACCCCCCTCCCCATTTCCAAGCCGTTCACAAAAATGCCCATTTCAAGCCTTCAGCATATTCCAGGATTGCAGCATTAAAGGTTCAGAATGGGGCATTTTTGCAAACCGCTTGAAAATGGGGAGGGGGGATTTTTGTCTCTTATCCTGTTTTCAGTCTGTGCTGACCTTCAGAACAGGGGGAGAGGCAGGAATAACCTCCTCCCCATTTTCAAGCTGTTTGCAAAAACGTCCCATTTCAAGCCTTCAGCATATTCCAGGATTGCAGCATTAAAGGTTCAGAATGGGGCATTTTTGCAAACCGCTTGAAAATGGGGAGGGGGGATTTTTGTCTCTTATTCTGTTTTCAGTCTGTGCTGACCTTCAGAACAGGGTGAGAGGCAGGAATAACCTCCTC